GAGAACTGCGCTCAGGAGCAAATAGTTGTAATCGACTCTTGCAAAGAGGAGCCGGAGGGGTCGCATCAGCTGGGCCACGCGGAACATACGTATTTTTAAATTCTCGTTGTCCGGACTGAATACGCTGCATTTCACTCTTGCTTTGCTTCTCCGGTATGTTTTCGTATAGACTCTTCGACATCATGTTTAACTAATGTAAACAAGTCAAAATTAGATACTGTGCAACTTATAGATGGAATCATTGTTTGGGTGTGTCATATTATCAGAATGTTATATAGTAAGTTAACCCACACGCATCTTATTTAATTCTGCGTGTACAAGCCATTATCACATAACAATAATAAATTATGCGTTAAAAGTATCAGGAACTTGGTATGGCTTCCATTCAGTCACCTGACTAAAATGTCAGTTTAACTCACGTGCTCATCCGTTAGGAAAGTTCGTGTATATCTCACCTCTTTTGCTTGGTTTTCCTATCATTTATTTTAAAACCCTAGCATCTTCTTTCATCTCCACAACTATGTGTGGCGCATACTGATAGTTCCTTAACGAGAAAGGTTACAGGCTATCAAAAGTTAACAAATCCAATGTAGTCCGTGTCCATTAGTTCCATATGCTGGTAACTTAAAGTCTGGTGATTCGAAAGTTATTTAAAGGCGCGAAAACGATTCACCACATTCCATGGGCACATGCTTGTTATTATGTAAAGTTTCTTTGAAATATTTTGCCTGTACGAAAGCTAACAGGATTTCAGAGGGGAATAAATTTATGTCATCTACTTGCCTATTACCCCCATAATAAACAACTGGATTATCTACGAACGTGTCGAATATTATTTATATTCAACAAAATCATTTCCATTTTTCGTGGTATCATATAATAAATCGAAGAGGAAATCTATTTAATTTGCTTTCAACAAGCTGATGGACTACATGTTCATGAAAAATAGATGCTCAGAAAAATCTTTTCCAAATATTCAAATATAAATGTTTTCATGTGACAAAGTGTCATAGTCTTTCAATGTGAGAGTTCGAACTAATTACTAAAACGGTGGGAAAAACATTAAAAGGTAGCCCTAGGAAACCTGTAATGTTGAATATCTTAATATTTCACTGTCAAACATATGGAACTGGTGTGAATCTCATTCAGAATATATAAAATGTACTTTCAATTATACAATTTAATCTATCGTTCTCTGGTGGCCAAAAACACGTTAATTTGTCGCATAGGAAGCGCACTTTTACAATTGGTATTATGAAAATTTAGCACAAAAAATAAAAATTAATATGAAAAAGATAACAAATATATGAAGTCAGGAACAAAGTTATATGATTTTGCCGGCAGTAATTGCTTGAGTAATCATATTTTAAAGAACAATTTTATGAAGCAGTACGTGTTGATAGTATATAGGCTGCACCTCGAAGGAAGTTAATAATAAAGTGAAACAGAACCGAACCAATAAATTGTGCAATAAGTAACTCTAATTAGAGCTATGAGACGGAAGTCGAATATGAGTATTTTGTATTTTGTCAGGAAAACAAAGAAATGAGTTAATGTAAAGGACTATGAGCTTCTCAACTGTCAAAAGTGGCTAACTGACAATGCCAAAGATCGGTAGGGCTCTCATGTTTTCTTCAAATCCATAGAACAGAGAAAATGTGAACGAATATCAGAGCAAATAGTGAGTAATGCGTGATGACCATTACCTTTTTCGTGTATGTAATGCTCCAACTTTTATTCGTAGCAAATAGGCTTTCTACGAAATGCTGGCAAAAATGATATTTATGTTTATTGAATCAAATAAATCGGCCGCAATAATGAGAAATCGATGACAACCTCATAGGGTATAAACGTTCAAGGTCTAAGTTCAAGGTTGAAACGAGTCAGTTCAAGGTTTTCCAAGAAATAGTTCACAGTTTCTTTGTAGGATATGACGGTCTCACGGATAACTGACGTTTTTTAAAGCTTCGTGGTGTTTTTATAAGTCGACTATTTTGGTTTAGTTGTGCTGAGTAGAAATTTCGTAATGCAGAGACAAATGAACGGTAGCAGTCATTATAGCAGAAAACGAGAACATTCAGCCGAAGAATAAAAAGCTATACCATGTATTCAACTTTCGTTTCATTAGTAATATTCTATGAAAAACTGTTTTGAAATAGTGAGTATTATTCTGAGGAAAATAAGCCATAAATTTGTTTCGAAAACAGCACGCGCAACCTCAATAGCTATCGTGTAAAAAGTACTTTCAACTTCTTTCTCTGCCTGTTGAATTTACAAATTATGGGTAAATTAATGTGTCCGCATATTTCAACTGGACCACTGAAGTATACAATAGAACCCTAAACGTATTATAATCATCTCAATTCCAAAACTGTCCAAGCACACGAACGATCACTTTCATTTACAGTGAACAGTTGTTCTTCTCAAGAAAGATACTTTGTTACATGCACTCCATGCATCTCCACATGAAGTAAAATTGCAAATTACGGATATACCACTGCAGCAACATACCATCAAATAAGCCTATTTGCTTTAATTAACTTCACTAAAGTTGCTTCATTTGAACTGCTAACGGTTTTATTCACGGTACAATGATATTTGATCATAATGACCGTCTACCCACTGTGTTTAAGTGGTAGCTGTATTCTCTGCCAGGTTACAGGCAAGTTCATTAGAAATATACAGTAAAGGATCAAGCTTATAGTACGGAAATTCTGCTCATTCTTTCGAGTGTTTTTCAGGAAAAAAATCTGCGACTCCGTGAATGAAGGAATTTCGGGATAGGGAAGGGTTGACGCTAGTGCACGGTGTGGTCAGTCTCCCTGCGGTGTTATGGGTCTGGTATTTAACACCAGATAAATGTGTGTCGGCGAAAGGTTGTTTATTGTTGGCTAAGGAATTAGCCAACAGTGTCAGCATCATTGCTCTGAGTGTGACATTTGGCACAGGGTTCGGAATCCACGAACGCCATCAGAGCGGAAGAGAGCTCCCACCGAGTTTGTACCCAGTATTCGTGGAAGCTGCCGTTAATGCAGAAAACTAGTGATAGCTCTCATGAACAAAAGGTTACTT